AATATATACACTAGAAGTACCATTATACAATCGGGCGGTTATGCGGGGAGCAGATCATTGAGAGCCAGAGAACTAGTATCCGTATTTCTCCTCTGTATTTTCTTATGTTTTCCTCTACTCGGTGTGTAGATACAGCAGAATACCAGGGGAGCTTTATTCTAATTGCAAGGTGGGCAAGTTACAGCCACCTCACCCGACCTCACCCTAGATGATGGTTTACATAGGGAATGGTACCAAGATAGCTTTAAATTGGGAATTGAAGTCATTTCAGATTACCCTGTTCAAGGTGCCCAAGGTTTCTCACAGCTGCTGCGCCTCTGCAACCGAGAGTTGAGCTCTGCTCTGGGACGTTCCTCTTTCTTGTCATAGCTGTTTACTACTGCGGCCATTGCTGTTTTTACAAGCTATATTCCGCCCAGATCTATCCTGGCAGAATGAGACATATCATGTCTTGCTTGGGGATGTGATTGTTATGCCAAGGCCAGGAGAGTAACTCAAAACGGCAGCTATGGCGTAATAATGCGACAGGACACACCTGCAAGGACGTCCATCGCAAAAGCATTTGGAGGCATGTTTCTGCTGATTGCTTGAGGACTTATATGGACACAGACGGGCATGCTTGCACATTTTGCCTGCGCAGCAGCACGCCCAACGTGCATTTGACCATTTATATTCACGCTTCCCCGGTGAGTAAGTCTGTTTGCCAAGGAAGCCATCTAAGAACTTGAGGCGTGCCAAAGGCTCCGACAGACGCGAACGCATTGTTTCCCTTGCGGGTCAGCCTTTGGCTTCGGCTTCAAGATAGATTCTGCAGTTCAGGGTTCAGCCACTGGAATTCATGCAATTCACGACTCATAGTACACAGCAACTAGCCTTGAAGTGCTCTTGACAGAATGTGTGACAGTCACGTAATAGGACATGCATTCGTAGCTTGGCGGACCTGGGGGACTACTTGTGGCCTGTCGCAGCTTCCAAGCAAGTCATCTTCCTCATGGCGATGAGTAATAAGGCAACAAGACGAAGGACAACTTCTGACCGTCGAATATCATATGGTAGTTTCCATAAATGAGAGGACCCCGATATACATCCCAAAATATTCTAATCCCTCTTGAGGGGACCCCAAATATGTCACCCCTAATTTTGGGAAACCCTAAACCCTATGTATGCGTCCGCGCTCTGCGTTCTCAGCCCCCCCCACCCACCCATGGTATGGTCCCCATCTGGGAATAAGCCATATCTCTAACCTAGCAGAACCATGAACTCTGCGTAAAACCTCACTGTATAAACCCTCACAACAGGACCCAGACCACAGGACCACAGGGACTGAAGACTGTACGAAATCTTCACAAACCCATAAACCTTCTACGAACCTTCCAGAATGTTTTTTAACCTTTTGCAAGCCGTCTACAAAAGCTATAACCCCCACTAAGCCTTCTATTAAGATCTGTGCAAAACCTTTATAAGCCCTCTTGATACAATCTATCTCTATAAGAAATGCAGAAAACTCTATCAAGCCTTCAGAAAGCCTCTAGAGACCCCTTCAGAAAGCCTGTTGAGACCCCTAAACACTTGCTATTGAATTAATGAACCATGTGCAAACCTTCTTTAAGCCGCATAGAACCCCTTAAAAACACGTTAAGCTTTTACAAGCTTAGTCTAAACCTCAAGTTAAGCCACCAAACCCAGACCACAGGACCACAGCAGAGCGAGGTAGGTTCGTATACTCTATATCATGGAAATCATGGACCATACCATGGGGGGAGGGGGGGGGGGGAGCCCGCCGGGGCGTGACCATATATTGGGGCCAACTCTGGGAAACCTTTAAGGGGTTTGAACTTAGGGGTACAATCCAGCAACCCTAAGCCCTAAACCTTAAGCCTTTATGATAGGAGATGGCAACGACAGGTCAGTCAATTAGTGCCCACAAGTCTATCTGCATTCAACCGAACTGATATGAGCTATAGTCTAAACTCCTTAAAAGGGCCTATATCAGGGCTGGAGGAAAAAGGGCTGGGGGGTGGAGGGGCCGGAGTGGGGTGGGGGGGGATTTCTTATTGAGTGCGTCCGCCATACATGAAATCATTATTGCATGGGCGAAAATGCGGATGGCAAATTCTTCCTAACAAAGCTATCACACTTCATTCCTCGAAATTCAATGGGCAAGAACGCCAGAAACTTGGCTTACACATGCAGTCAACCGATAGATGTTACTGGTCTGTTGACACTTTGTGGAATAGGCCGCGCGTTCCTTGTCCGATTTTGCTGAGCAATTCTGCAACTCGAACGTGCAGCAGCCCCTCAATCTGCCTCAATTTGTGCACTGGCAGGGTGGCTTGGTGCAAAAGACCGCAAAGTCTGCAAACTCAGATGGGATGTTGCGCCCGAACGGGGGATACTGTAGGAATTTGTAGGGCTTTGTTGGGAGTTCCTTTGACTTTGGGGATTTGACAAGAGTTCACAGCATGTGTTGTTGCTTTGTCTTTTTGCTGTCGTGAGCTTCTGTTGAGCGTCATGTTTCGGATGTCCGCACCCCAAATCAGTGCACGGACGCGTGCGAACACCTTCGTAATCCTTCCAGTGCGGTCTTGTGCTGAGGTCAATGAAGCTGAGGCAGCATGAGTCTGCCTGAACTTGCCCTTGAGACAATGATGTTCTGGCGGGCACGCCAGACCGTGCGCGAAAATATGCACTTCCCCAGCGCCTCTTCCGTTTCAGTTGTCGTTCTTCTAGTGTCGTAGTTTGAGAATGAAGAACAACAGACGGTCAATAACAACTGATCCCAGGATCTCGGATCTCTAAGGTAAAGGCCATCTTAATTCTAGGGGGGGCTGGTCTTTAGGGTTTAGGGCTTTCTGGGGCTGGTCTTTAGGGTTTAGGGGCCACTCAAAGCTGGTCTTTAGGGTTTAGGGCTTACTGGAACTGGTCTTTAGTGCTTAGGGGTGACTTGGGGCTGGTCTTTGAGTTTTTGTGGTGTCGGGACGGGGTTAAAGTCTAGAATCCTAGGATAAGCTAGAAGTCTAGGGTTTGGGAATATTTGCTCAAAAAACTCAAGGACAAAATCTGGTCAGATTGACGCGCATCATTTTCTGAAGAAACATAGGCGCGTCAATGTCACCAGATTTTTTTCGCATATTTTCTCAAAAACGACATGACAAAATCTGGTCAGGTTGACGCGCATCATTTTCTGAAGAAACATAGGCGCGTCAATGTGACCAGATTTTGTCCTGCACATTTTCTCAAAAAAAAGACGGGACAAAATCTGGTCAGATTGACGTGCGTCATTTTCTGAAGAAACATAGGCGCGTCAATATGACCAGATCTTGTCCTGCACATTTTCTCAAAAAATGACAGGACAAAATCTGGCCAGATTGACGCGCATCATTTTCTTAAGAAACATTGTGGCCAGATTTCGTCCTGCATTTTTTCTCAAAAAATGACAGGACAACATCTGGTCAGATTGACGCGCTTTGTCGTTTAGCGAATAGAAAATCGACTAAAAGATGCACCGTGACAAGCACTACGAAACGAATAGCATAACATCAAAGTAAAACTGCTTTGCCATTGCTTTCGAGCTAAGGCTGTCGATTGCCAAAAAACTTCACTGTTTTCTCCACCCGACAGTGCCAGCCTGTCGCGATTGAATGAAAAAAGCTGGCATTTTTGAGTAGTTCATTGCAAGTAGAGCTGTTTTCAAGCATTGCCTTTTGTGCAATGCTCTTCAATATGCGAAATAATAGATGCAGTTTGAATTCTGCAACATTTGGAACAAATGTGCAGCTGAAAGAGGGGTGTGCTGTGTTGGGCTAGTAAACAACTTAGAGGAGAATGTTTGCTTAATGTTAGGGGACCCAACGGGCGGTGGGTATTGCTCTAGTACTTAGAGATAAACAAAACCGAATGTATGCTTGAACTTGAGATGCTGAACCCGAAACCCTAAACCGTAAACCCTAAAGCCCTACACCCTAAACCCTAAACGTTAAATCCGAGTTTGGACCTGCAGAGGTGCCCATGGTGTCGTGTGGTTGGCCAGGAAGGCGGATCACTACAGCGTCATCAAGGCGAGTGTAGCTTGTTTTTTTGGGTTTAGGGTTTAAGGTTTAGGGTTACAAATGCTCTGCAGCACACCTACCAGCGCACCTACCAGTGCACTTACCAGTAGCACCTAGCGACACCCCTAAGGCCCCAATAGCTCTAAAGCAATTTCCTGCAGGTTCTAGAGAACAAGGCGAAGCGCGAGATCAAGATCATGAAGCAGCCGACGCCACTTGGCAAAATTGCTAGCCAGCTGGCCCCCTACCCCCACTAATACAAACACTACACCACGGTAACATTCCTTTTTCCCGCGCTATGTCCTGTCCATGTGTTGAGAATATCGACGATTAGGGGATGCATTCATTACCTGAACCCGCTGAAACCTTCCTTTTTTAGGACGCCCCGCTTTTGGAGACCAAAACAAGGTCATAGCTAAAGAAAGGGGTCACAAGAATTCGGGGTTTTCTGAAAGCAGACAACCATCATATATGCCATTCCAATTAACAGCTGTCCTGTTCTGACCCGCCACAAAACCAACAATAACATAATGCCTCCATCCTTAGTAACCTTAGTACGCCATATTCTTACCTGGAACACGATTGATAAACGATAATACTACATCAGAAAGACGACCAAGGGGCCCACCTATACAGTCAGAATTCTACAGCACTCCCAACTCCGAATCCCTGACCTGACAAAATCCCTTAACCCTGCCCCGCAAGAACTACCTTCACCCTTTCATGCCTGGATCCTGTTCATTGGTGCCACGACCGAGCGGAGGGGTGCCGGGCTCATTTTCTGAAATCTTTAGAAGTCGATTATGATTCTGCGTATAAGATTCCGGGAGGGTCTCAGCATGCCAGCACCCCACCTTATGCCCACAGAATTTGATAGGAGGCCAACAGTGACCTGTCCATCACACGGGTGTGCAAACGACGGGCATGAACCCTGCGGCTGAGCCGGCAGGGTCATCCTATATTGTCTTCTGATTGCTGATTGCTGGTAGCTAGAGGGCTCGGGGCCCACTGGCATCGGGTGCCATCATCAATAAGTCCTTCGGCAGTGTGGGAGATCATATGGGCCTTCGGAACAAGGATGAACCTGTTTAGCCATTCTTTGCAAACACTGTAGGCGCATTCCTGGTATGTAAGCAAGAAGCTTCGCATCATGAGTCCCATTTTTTTGGCAGTACAGCCACGGATCCAATAACCTTCAGCATACAAGACCGAGAGGACGATATTCATGAGCTGGGTGCCTTTCGCCTCAGACATTTTCCAATTCCACATGAAAAATGAAAAGAGACGTGGTAGCTTCACGTGAATTGATTTAGAAGTTTAAACCTGGAAAAATGTGAAGCAACATATTGATGAAGCTCAAGCAATTCAGTGGCAATTCCGCATAGAATGGGGTCATCCGTCCGACCAACAACTCGTGCCTCCAGGAAGAACGACAAAAACAGCATTAGCTGCGTTGTAACTGCAGCTTTCGACCAAGAGCCTTGTGGATTGGAGTTGTTTGTTGCAAAGGAGAAGCTGTCTCTGTTCAGCTGCCGAAGGTAAGGAGAAATTCTGAACCGCCGCGCCCATGATAGGAATTCCACTGTGAGCTCTTCAAACTTGGCGTCTATGGATCCCCCTTGCAAAATATCCATCGTAGCCAGCATGACGAAGCTGCAAGCCAGCCAAATTTTCCCCAGGCCATTATGCCAGTTATGCCACAGATCCGTTTTCAGGAAGGATGGTTCCTCCCCTGCAGTCCACGGCAGTCCACGCATGATGGGCGGAAGGCTTGACCAGGGGGATTCAAGCATCATGGTGCCCTTCCACTTTGCTTCAGCATGGAACTCTTCGAAGGCTACGCTGTCCTCCACGGTCTCACCTTCCTTGCCTGCCATGCACAGCCAGCATATCCCTGGGCACCTAGCACGTCCGTTGACATGCCGTGCCATTCGAGTGAAAGAACGTTCCAGGGCCCCAATCTTCGCCAATGCTGGCAAATCGCCCTTCACACCAATGTGCATGATCCAGACTCGTCTGGCGCCAATGCTATTGTACACCCCATTCCTGGCGAGCCTAGACATGTCTTCTGCAAAGTGGGATATCAACTTGTTGAGGGCGGCAGGATTCTCCACACTAGCTGCCCGGAGAAGGGAAAAGATGATGAAATGGGTTCCCCACGTGGATCCTTGAAAAGTCATCTTCATCGGATCCCTTTTGATGTGAAACTTGCGAATGCCAAATCTTTTGTTGAAGCTTCGGGTTCCTTTACCTAGCGCCCCATGGACTGATAATATTGTCAAAGCTTTCGACTTATACGTGCGCCCCTCATCAATGTGACTGTAAACTGGTATGCATCGCTTCAGGGACACCTGGTTTTGCTCAGCCATGGCAAAAAGCTGGTGGTGAGGGTGTAATGCACGGTATCTGTGCCAAAACTCCTCCAAGGTGGCTTCCATGCTTTCTTCGTTTTCAAAATCTCCACAAAGGAAGGATAACTTGTTCTCATCCAAGAGATATGTAACCCATTTTGAGAAACATATCAGAGGGCACTGTTTCAGCTCACCTTGCCGCCCCAGCAACACTTTGTCAATCGTGATCGGAATCGTCAGGCCATATTTTCTAAAGAGTTTGTGGCATCCATCCTCAGCATCATTGGGAGGGATGGCAGCCAGCTCCCTCAAAGCTTGCGAAGCCGTTGCCGGGTTGTCACGCAAAGCAGCTACAGCTGTCCCCACCACGTGGCTGCACGGGGCCTGGGCGCAGAAACGCAAGTGATGTCATGTGTTCGGGTCTGTGGTGGGGTGCACACAAGCTCACTGATGCTCATGATGCAAGCAACACTTCAATCGGAATACCCGTTTGCCTTTTTCTGTAATGCGCAAGTATACAGTCAGGTCCGCCATTCGGCAGGATAACACGATGAACTTGGAACTTGACCCATGCTGCGTGTACAGCTGAATTTGCAATACAGAATTATCCGACTCTTTTCATTTGATCGGCCCGACCTCCGGTTACATATAAATAGAAAGGGCCACATGCATCCGTTCTATTCAAGGCCCCTTCCCCACCAGTGTTTGGTGAATTTCTGCAGCCACTGCAGTGTTGAAATTCATGAATCAGAGCTGCTTCTAGCATATGAATCTCTCCCGCGCAATCACCACTGTAGATGACCCACATGGAAGTGAAATTTTTCTCCACGTAGGAAACGTAGCGGAGCGCCGGGTTTCTCGTGACCCCAATCTTGAAGATACAAAGATTGATGCCCATGTTTTCCCGGAAGGAAACGACATTTTGACGGGCATGAGCTAGCAGCTTCCCACTTGTTGGCCTTTTAGGAGTAGCTGGCAACGTCCTCTTAATAAGCCCAAAAACACGCAGCCTTTCCCAAGAAGCTCGCGTGGGAGTGAAGCCGAGCGCCAGAGATCCCAGCATAGCCTATAGCAGCATGAAAGCTTTCCGAATATCATTCAGGCATCGAAAAGAAGGCAAAAGGCACCAACCCCATTACAACCTTTCACCCAAAACATACATTATACCACCCTGGTGATAATTTTGGAAGTTTTACCAGAAGAAGAAAGGTTTTCGAGCAGAGTGTAGGGTTATAAGCGTTTAGCCTCTTTATATAGGGCTTAGGGCACAGGGCGTATGGTGCTTAAAGAGGTTCCACGGAGCTAACTCACCAGAAAAAACAAACAGTGCCAGCAAAAATGATACCCTCCCTGGTATGTTCTTGCGCTTGGTTGAATGATCAAGGCACTGTGTCTGGCCTGGTCGCCGAAATGCTCTTCATTGCCTCCTGGAGGGCCAGGCTCCAAGGGCAGCTTAGGATTCGATCATGTATACATGAATTAGCCTGTACCGTGTAGATTTGTGGATGTAAAGGCCTGCTCAGTGAAATCTGGAGAAGCATTCGGAACCTGGTCTGGTGATCTTGTACTTGAGGGAGCGCGGTGGCTAGACCTGCGTGCCAGTATATCCGTTTCGAACCACACACAGAACATAAATAAGGTACCACCTAGGAGGCTAGTAGACATGTAACATTGCCATTACAAACCGCCTTCTATTCAGTCTTAGGATCCAGGATGGGGATGATGTAGAGGAGCGAAAGGCTTCGACAGCGCAGCGTTTTTTCCCAGTGACAGGGCAATCATATGTCAGAAGATCCAGCAGGTCAGACATTGATTGCGAGGGCTTCAGGGCAGACATGATCGATCATATTGGTTCTGCTCACATCAAAAATCTTTGATCGAATTAGAATTCGATAAAGGAGTTTCACCAAAGCAGAATGGTGTCCGTTGTAGCGAACATTGCATACATCGCCAACCATGCAATGAAATAGTTGACCTATGTATAAGCTCTAGCCTAAATTCCGAACATCCCCTTATAATTATATATAATAACCCGCCCTAGGACTGCATGTCTTCTATATACATATATCCTTCGATCAAGGAATTAAGAGTAGAGCTCATACAACGTGTGAAAATGACTGCTGGATGATTGCTGCAGCATGATCGAAGGAAATGAAGCTTCCAAGCAATCCTCACATGGGCAAGCAGTGCATTGTTCTGTAAAGCCAACTCCATGCAAAGGTTCCGACCCCTCGAGCTACCGATTTGGCAGCATCACGGACAACATGGCCAGGATCCCAGCCTGGCATGCAGGGCACCCACTGCGCAAGCAAGCTATCAATGTAAAGGGTCAAGAGCTGCAAGCGC